GTCGCCGGCCTGCCAGCGGCGGCGTGCCCTTCTCTCCCTCTCCTCACCCTGCCCCATCCGACAACTCCCGGCCTCCCCTAACCCCGAACACTCGGCCGCTGTGGAAAAAAGCATCCGGGCCGCGGTTGCCTCCCCTGCCTTGGGGAGCATCTGCTCAAACTCTTCTGGCCCCTCAAGCAGAAACGGTGGCGGATCTGGCCAAAGCCCTCCAGCAGCGACTTAAAGCCGCCAGCAGCTACTGGAAGGTTGGGGTATGGGGTGGATGGCCCTTAGCCTCTCCGTTCTGAACTGGTTCATGCCACCCTGGTGGCTTCAGTCCTGGTGCCTTCATCTTTTCCCCTCCACTTTGCTTCTCCCACCCCACTCTGGGTTCCCCGCCTCCCTCCTCAGCGGTGAGACACAAGGCTGGACCAAGGCCTCCAGGGTAAGTGACCCAAACTCCAAGCCATCAGAGGCCATGCCAGCCCGGGGAGGGGGCGGGGGAGACTCCCAAGGGTGGGCTCAGCTTTTTGTTTATGCTGCCTGCCATCCCCCACTTCCCCCTCTTTCCAGTCTCAGATGAAGGGAGGCCAGGGCCAAAGACTGATAGGATCTAGAGAGGCAGGAGCCTCTTCCAGGACTGTGACACTACAGGGCATGAGGCAACTGAAGGTAGTGATGTAAAACCGCTGTGTCCCCATCCTGGTTGCCCCAGTTCTAGCAGGTGAGATGATAGTAGGGTGGTGGCTGCTCAAGTTGAGAAGTGGTGGAAGATGGACCTCATCCTTTTACCCAGAGGCACCTCACCCCTGGAAACACTCATAGTGCCACTGGCAGTTTGAGGCTCTGACAGGGGGACATGTAGGCAGGAGGAGGAGCCCCTGGACACTGAGCAAAGCTTCTCAGATATAATGCAGTGGTTCTAGGAGCTCAGAATCTGGGACTGCCAAGAGAAGTGGGAGCTCTGACAGAAGGAGAAGCCCGCAGTGGACATGCGGCTCTATCGGACCCACTCTTGTTGCCCCTTCTGGCAACTTCCCGGTGAAGAGGGACCTTCTTCCCACCAGGACCCCCATCTCGTCACTGTAGGGCAGGTAGGGCAGGCCAGGTAGCCACAGCAGCACTGTTCCCAACTGTGTATTGGTGGCAAATATCAGCCCCTGGGGCCTTTGGCTCAATTGTCACCCACTGCCCACGCCTCTTTGCCAGCCACTTTGTGCCTGGCAAATGACACTCAAACCCCGTAGGCCACTCTCTGAAGGCCTCCCGGTTCTGGCCCGAGCCAGTGCTCCCCATCAGCACCCTTTGCTCTCATCTGGCTGGTCTCCTTGTCATTCTCTCGGAAGCCTTTTGAAGATTTCAACCTTGCTTGGTACTGCTGCAGCCCCGCTGTAGCTGCATCGCAAAGCCAGCAGGCAATGGGCTGTGGTGACAGGACTGGAGGTGGCTCTCCTGAATCCCTTGGTATCAGAACATCTTCACGAGAGGCCACCACGGTGGGCAAGCCCAGGGAAGTCAGCAGGTATTGGCAGGCTGAATAGGAACTCCTGTCTGTAGGTTGCCCCTCTGGACATGGCTTGAGGCAGTTGTGCTGGGGGAGGGGATAGCCAAGTGGCACTCAAGGGCCAGCACTAGTCACTGCTCTTCTGTCCCCAAACCTGGGGCAAGGGGCCCTGCTTAGTCTCCCGGCAGTGGGCTTCCAGATCCCTATGCTCCTGGACTTGCAACTACTCACCCTTACCAGCTGCCTCTATGTATCCCTTCTCTCCTCAGGGAGACTTGTGCCATCAAGAAAGGCTGCACAGGACCCACCCATGGACCCTTCTCAGGATGACCCAACAGCACCAGCAGGGATACTTTCCTAAGCCAAAGAGGGCCTGGGCACACCATCTTTCAGGAGGAGCCATGGTGTTAAGGAGGGGCGGGGGCAGCTCCTGGCGGTGGCTTGGCCTGGGAGGGGAGAGTGCTTGCACAGGCCCCATAGGCATGCTCAGAGCTGCCCTGCTGCTCATCAGCCTGCCATGGGGGGCCCAAGGGACAGCCAGTGCCAACCTCAGCACAGCTCTGGGCCACACCATGCCACTGACAGGGGGCCGCTACTTGAGCATTGGGGATGGCTCTGTGATGGAGTTTGAGTTCCCCGAGGAGAGCGAGGGCATCATCGTAATCTCGAGCCAGTACCCGGGCCAGGCCAATGGGACGGGGCCTGGACCCACACTGAGGGTCACATCCCTGGACACAGATGTGCTGACCATCAAGAATGTGAGTGCCATAACCTGGGGTGGTGGGGGTGGCTTCGTGGTGAGCATCCACTCTGGCCTGGCTGGACTGGCCCCACTCCACATCCAGCTCGTGGACCCCCACGGGGCCCTGCCCGTGCTGATTGAGGAGCGGAGAGATTTCTGCATCAAGGTCTCACCTGCTGAAGACACCCCTGCCACCCTCGGCAATGACCTGGCCCACTTCTCAGAGAACCCACTACTCTACCTGCTCCTGCCTCTTATCTTTGTCAACAAGTGTTCTTTTGGGTGCAAAGTGGAACTCGAGGTTCTGAAGGGGCTCATGCAGAGCCCCCAGCCCATGCTGCTGGGCCTCCTGGGACAGTTTCTGGTCATGCCCCTCTATGCTTTCCTGATGGCCAAGGTCTTCAAGCTGCCCAAGGCCTTGGCTCTGGGCCTCATCATCACCTGCTCGTCACCAGGCGGCGGGGGTAGCTACCTCTTCAGCCTCCTTCTTGGAGGGGACGTCACCCTGGCCATCTCCATGACTTTCATCTCAACAGTGGCTGCCACTGGTTTCCTGCCACTGTCCTCAGCCATCTACAGCCGCCTTCTGAGTATCCATGAAACACTCCACGTGCCCCTCTCCAAGATCCTGGGGACCCTGCTGTTCATCGCCATCCCCATAGCAGCAGGTGTAGTGATCAAGTCCAAGCTCCCCAAGTTCTCCCAGCGGCTGCTGCTGGTCATCAAGCCCTTCAGCTTTGTGCTCCTCCTGGGCGGCCTCTTCCTGGCCTACCACATGGGGGTCTTCATCCTGGCAGGCGTGAGGCTGCCCATTGTACTGGTGGGCCTCACAGTGCCCCTGGTTGGCCTCTTGGTGGGCTACTGCCTGGCCACATTCCTGAAGCTGCCGGTGGCCCAGCGGCGGACAGTCAGCATTGAGGTCGGGGTGCAGAACAGCCTGCTGGCCCTGGCCATGCTGCAGTTGTCATTCCGCCGCCTTCAAGCCGACTATGCCTCACAGGCCCCCTTCATTGTGGCGCTGAGCAGCACCTCCGAGATGCTGGCCTTGGTCATTGGGCACTTCATCTATAGCAGTCTCTTCCCAGTTCCCTGAGGCCCCTGGGCCAAGCTTTCATCACCTCCAGCCCCCACACTCCGCCCACTGTCCCCACAGTTCTTGTGTACCAAAGGCCTTTAGTTCTCATGCACTATGCACTCAGAAAAATCCAGGCTTATTTTTTTTACTGATTTTTTATTCTCCAGCTTTCAGTGCCAAAGAGGCCATGCTGAGTTAGGTAGGTGGGCACTGCCCAGAAAATATATTTCAATAAAAGAGAGAAGCAAGCTTGGGTCCCTTCCAATCTTTGCCCTTTGGGGCCTAGGGGGAAGGGGGCAGGGTAGGAAGACTGTGCCTGGGTAGGTGTGGGCCAGGGTGTAGGACCAGCTTGGGTGACACGGCGACCCCTGCACAGGTTTTCTCTATCAGCACCCCGTGAGAGGTGGGCCTCTGTTCTAGAATGAGAGATGGGAGGATGAGGGCGGAGGCCTGGCTCCCCTGCCTACTCCCAAGTTCAGTTGATTTTTGGCAGCCAGACTAGAAAGGAGGAGGTAGAAAAGCATCAGGCGATAGGGCAAGCTTGGCAGGGTTGGGCCATTTGTGGACAGAATCGGGGTTTGCATTGACCTGCTCCACCCACCAACAGGCTGGGAACTTGGGGCGCACCAGGCTGATGGCGGAGGCGAGCGTACTTCCTAGCTCTTCCTTTTCCCAAGCCCAAGCTCCCAGATGAAGCAAACCTGGCCCAACTCGTCCCCCCTCAAGCCCGGCTGGCTGGACAAGCTGCTTCCCTGCACTGTCGCTATGGGTGGGAGGGATCTGTCAGCCTGGGCGGTACCCGCGCGTTTGTGAGGCGGACCCCAAGGGGACTCCTCTTGGGACGTGGGTCGGAGGCGGGCCGGGG